CCATTAGAAGTGGCTGATTTTGTGTCATTGCTTCCTATATTTACATGTATCATGGTTTTTCAGTGGGGTTTTTTTTGGTGGTGATGGTGGTGGTTGTTTTTTGTTTCTATTTTGTTTTGAGGTTTTTTTTTGCTATTCCGAACCACGCTGCTCTCAAAGCGATTACTGGGCTAACGTTAAAGGAAGACATTGGGAGAATTAGTTTCAGACCTGGACGCCAGTTGACATACCCAACTGTTCTTGTCTCATGAGGTCAGAACAACTGACCACAAGAACACCGTTGAAAAGGAAAAAAAAAAAAAAACAACCCAAAACCAACTGACTGCAGTATTTATGAATTTTAAGAGTTTGGCCAGTGGGTCACCATGATCTTAAGCAAGAATCTCTTTGCTTTTGCCAAAGAGGATACATGCAGCGTTGGTCCTGTCGGGCATCGTGTGGGAGTGGCGTGGTGAGAGTCCAACTACCCGCTGGGCACTGCACCACTCTCGTGGGCGTGCGAGTCCTTGAAGCTTTGTCCAGTCTGTATCTAGTCCTCCTTTTCCTTTGCCATTGCTATACTTGTATCGCCAGGAAACCTCATTTCATTTAGGCTTGTTATGCTTTGTCAGGTGAGTACTACGCTATATAATGTGTTTGTTTCTCTGCGTTCTCTGGGGGTGCCTTGAACACAATTAAAGCTCATTGCAAGCTGATTCTGGAACAAAAAGGTAGTGAAAAAAAAAAAGGAAAAAAATGAGAGAAAAAACATAAACCAAGCAAAACAAAAGCAAAAATGTTGGCTGTGTTATCAGGAGATCCCAGTATTTATATCACAGACTTCCTAACGTGATGACTCAGGCGTCAGTTTGATGCTGCAGTATAAAACTATTATTTTATATATTGTACAAGTAATTTATTAAATGTCTTTCTAAGGGTATATGCTGCTTTTAAGATGCACTATATTTTTGGATCTAATCCTTATATTATTTTTTTTTCCCAAGGAAGTAAAATGTGCTGCAAAGGCAAGCCACAGTGATTAGTATGCTAACTGCTACTTCTCTTTAAAAAGGAGAGTGGGAACTAGATATGTAACTTTGCTAAATGGATTAACTGCTGCCAGAGAAATGATTAATGCTGATAGTGTGGTCGTTAATCTGGAGTCCAACTTCGTCAAGTCTGTATTCTAAAGAGTGCTTAAATAGAAGTTAAAATGCCTAGATATATAGTTAGGTTTTTTAGTATGTAACTTTATGATTGCCTAATAAATAAAACAAATCTGCATGCTGGAATCACTATAATCTTATAATAAAATGAAATGTGATCCACTGGGAGAAGCACGGTGAAGTGTTGCAATTCCAGAATTAACACCACATCCTCACTTGTGTCTGGTAATCCACTGCTGTGGTGGTGAAGAGAGAGAGAGGGTGGGTCTGCAGAACAGAAGACCTGTAGTGAATTTTGCAGTGAGGTGAACGTTTTCCAGGTTTACACAAGCTCACATTTTGCTCCGCTTCATGTCCTCTATCATTGCAACAGGGAGCGCTGCTTTCACCTTTTTTTTTTCTGATCTGAGGTGCGTTTGGAGGTGCCTCCGGGTGAATGTTGTAGCCCATGGCTGCAGCATTTTAAAAGTCTCTATTTTAGGGCTGCCTAGAGAAGGTTTAGCTCAGTATGAGCAGCAGAGCTGATGGCCTTGCATAAGGAGGGGATCTGCTAAGTATGGAGCGGTTTATTTTTATCGGAAGTGAGGTGAAACTAAAACTATTAACATAAAAAACTTATGCTCTCTTTCCTGCTAGAAATTTTCTCAACAGATTTTGACTTCGTTTCAGTTTTGTCGCTGCCAACACAGTCCAAGTTAATTTTACATCCATATATATAATATGTGTGTGTATGTATGTATGTATACATACATCTATAATTCTAGTCAGAGTGTGTGTTTGTGTATTTTCCTGTTTATAATACATATATGTATATTTATAATACTCCCTGGAGTATTTAATGACTCAGGCATCAGATCTGATGCTGTAGAATACAATATATGTGTATATGCATATGTTCAAATACTGTGTGTATATTTAAAAGAACTATTGTTGGTGGTCTGTAGAATAATTATTCCTTTTACTCTCAAAATTTTAATGGCATTACTTGCAAAGACTTAAGTGTACAGTATTTTCCTACACTCCACCAAGATAGGTATTATTTATATCGAAGTCAAATATTGATATGCATTTTAAGGTATTACACAGATAACGTTGCCATTTTTGCAAATAAAACCGCTTTTTGGCAGGAAGGAATGCTCGAAATACCTTCTTACAAGGTCATTACCCCAACTGAACGACTGCTAAAAAGCCAGTTAGATGACTCCTGTTCTTGTATGAATTTTTGTGACTGTGGGTAGAGCCCTTTCTGTAGGTGAAAGTCACTGCGTGGTTCATGCAGTGCCACTGTTGTCCCTTTTGGCTAATTAAGGGCATGCAGAAAGAAACTAGCATCCTAAAATAGAAATGGCAACTGGCAGTGTTTGATTTCATTGATTGCTTAGAAGCAGCGACGGTCCCAGGCTTCGAACCCAAATGACCCCTCCGTTTTGGAGGGAGCCGGGCGGGGGCTGCAGACACTGGCTGGGCTCATCCCTGCGAGCAGAGGAGCCCACCCTGAGGAACGTGGGCAGAGGGAGCAGCTACCCCACGCTGGGGGTTGTGACAGGGATCCCCTGCCCAGGCTGACGTTACGCCTCAATTGTGATGTACCCAAGAGAAACGTGCATGGTTTCAGTCCTGTTCTCACTACTACGTTTGCTCTGCCTGAAGCTATCTGGATCCCTCAGACCAGCAGGAACGATACTAAACACTTTGGTGATATTCGATGCGTGGCTGTTTACTCATAGTTCCAAGAATCACCTTTGATTTCAAGGGTGGGGATGCCCTAAGTTTGTTCCAGAACCAGTTGGTTACAAGTGCACCTCTTATATATGCCTTACAAACTTCAGAGGCCATATTCAAAACAGGGTTTTATCAGTGTATGCAAGGGGGTGCAACCCCTCTTCTCTTCCTCCCCAGGTCAAACAGTATGGACAGTTTTCACACATATCTACCTGTATAACCCTCTGTACCTCTCATAACTGGTCAATGACTGTAACAGGTTACATCAGGTGTTTTTTCTACATACTTTTTACACAAATTCTATGCGATTAATGTAACTTAATTCAATGCATCATTTTATTGTACTAGTCCTTAAGCTTGTCTTTATTTTTTTTCTAGGTGACTGTGGTTTCTTGTGATTTTTATTGTATAAATAAATGAGGTGGCTGTTGATGCTTACTCTCTGTTACTAAGAATTTTTACCTTTTTGGAAGAAAGCATTGCTATGAACTAATGAATTTAAAACGTCATTTACTCATTGTAAATACAGTATTGTGCAAAAAACAAAAATGAAAAAAAAAACACCCGACCCTTTTCATTCATTTGAATTGCTAGTGTTAACTGAATTTTGTCTAGACACCATTTCTGTTGATGAAATAAAGACATATCATTATGTATTGTAAATCGACTCATCTTGACTCTGAAATTGATGTTGCAGTGCTCAGTTAATGTGTGGGTTGTAGGTGAGATTCAAGAGGGTAGACGGGTTGTGGTTGATCCTGCCCGGTAAATCTCTGGACTGACGAAGAGATCTCCACTCACATGGTCCCATTGCTAATTCACTAGTCATCTTTGATCCAGGGATCCAGTTACCTTTGATCTGCTGCAGGAACAACTGAGATTATTTCATTGCAAAGATGAAATAAGTTGTTTCGGAAGATCAAATGAGTTCTATTTATACCAGTTCCCCTAGTGCTTCACTTAAGGCAATTCTGCTAAGTCTTTGTTTTGGTCTTCTCAAGGGGCAGTGTATGTGTTGGGAGGCCAGAGGAGAGGTTGGAGTTTGTTTCTCCTTTACAGAAAAACAGAAATTGAGAGAGGTTTCTGTAGAAACAAAATAGAGCTGAAAATCTCTGTGTGTAGCCCAAATATGGTAGTGTTCTCTGAAGGAGGAACTTGTGCCATGGATCGTTAGCATCACTTAACACTGCAGAAGATCCAGAAAGGAAAGAAGTTAGAACAGCCTTAGGTGCCGTTAACGCAAGCAGGGCGCGGGGGTCTAGCGGGGAGCATTTGCTCTCTGGGACTTCCAAATGGATGGCAGCCACCTCGCTCCTTGGGTTGGATGCAACCTGAGAACCTGCTCAACAGCTTGGAAGGAGGAGACCTGGGAATTGGGGAGTGGTATGACCAGTTGTCCTACACCAGTCCACACACTTGCTGAGATGCTGCTGTGTGGAGGCAGACAAGCTGCTGGAGGGAGGTCCCCAGACACATTTATCACCAAACAGGAAACCCAAGATTGTGTGCCTTGGGCCACCATCCTTAGGGATACAAACTGCATCCTCCTCCATCTTCAGCAGTGAAAGTTGCCTGTGATTTTTCAGCCTTAGAATGTTCATGGAAGCAAATCAAACATGTTACTTTCCAGAGTTCCCCAGTTTTCTGAACCCTCCTGTTGAGCATATATGAAGAAAGTTTCCCACCCCCTCAAATCTGTCAGAAGATGTAGCATCCACCACGTCTACACATAGCCTGGCTGGCACTAGAGAATGTACTTCAGCAAAGCTGTTTCTCCATCCCTGAGCTGTTGTTGCTGGCACTTAATGGCCATCATCTTAAGTATTTCCCTTTTTTACCTTAAAGTACTAAACAAATGCACAGGCAAACTGTCAGTGAGTTTGTAGTGAGGCAGAATATGGATGTAAATTGTGTACTAGAACAAAACCACTGTAATCTCAAGCAATCTTTATGCTTGACTCCTTTTTTCTTGCTGTCCTGCTTTCTGCTAGCCTTGCCTTAGGGTCACGGAGGATTTTTATGCTTAGGGAAACTACCAAGTATCGCTTGACACTGAGGTGATACCAAAAGCAAGCTATGATAAGCTTGACTGACAAATAAAAGCAGCCAAAAAGCATGTGGCCAGAAACATGGTCAGGGAGAGTCAGAGAAAGGTACTTTATTTTCCAAATACACAAGTGGAAGGTCTGCTTTCTTGGACCGCATACAACCCAGAAATCCAACCCTCCAGAGCTAGGCTGTCCTGGGAAACTGAAAACGAGCTCTTCTTGGCTTTCAGCTTCTATATATGAGCCAGTTAGACAGTGAAGGGTATAAGATTTTCATGACCCTGAGGTGATAGATACCTTGCAGATCTTCTTGAACAGCAAACTGAAGAAAAGCACTGATGTTTGGCACTTAAATAAATTGCTTGATTTTATGTCATTTCAATTTGGAAGCTGGAAGTTTTAGCTACAAAGAGGCTACATTAGCATGAAAAGTCTCTATCAGAGCTTGAGGACTGCATGAGCTCAGGCAGATGGGCAGCAGCATATTCTTCAGCCAGCTTTTAATCTCTCTCAAATTCTCTGTGCCTTCAGATTCCTGAAGTGTTTCTTCTATCTTCTGTTCATTATCTTCTGAAGCCTTGGGAGATAGAGGCCACACAGCCTTCCAAGTTACTTTCAAATAAAACTAACCCTTTCTTGTAGGTGCCTTGAGTTTTCCGCTACCTTGAAGGTCTATGGTTCAGGCTGGTTTCTGATATGAACACTAGTAGCATGCACAACAAGTTGTACATCCCAAAATGTTCTCCCAAAGACACAAAGCTATTTCTGCAGTGGCAGCATGGCAGCACACACTGACCAGATCTGGCTCAGTCTACGTGAGAAAAATCTTGAGTGGTGGAGCGAGCTACCCATTAACAGCAGCAATCAGAGTGCGGTATGGTTTGTACTGGTGTAAAAAGGAGGAATAAAGTTTTTGCTTTCTTTAACTGTATTATGAATTTAGCATTATAGCCACAGGAGAGGGAAACAGCAACAGATAGTCTGCTAAAAGCAGTTTGTCCATTAATTTATTTCTTCTCAGAATGTCGTTACTTTTTCATGATAGATGATAGTTCTAGGAGCATGCCCTGAAAGATAACAAGAGAAAGAAAGCATGAAGTTGAATTGGCTTAAAGAAGAAAAAGAAATGTTATCATAGTAATTGACGCCAACATATACATAGTTGGGAAGATGGGAATCTGGTGCTTAGCTGACAACACACCTTGCAGGGCTTTGTTCGATGCTGAGGAGAGGGTGGAGAGAGGGGGAACACTTTGCTTTTAAACCAAAATAAACACATTAATCCCTGAAGTAACTTGCTTGAAATCAGTGGACCCATCCTAGAGCCTTTACTTTGCATGTTAAGGGGTTTTGTGCATTTTTGCTTTAAAACCTTACAAAGATGGACTCAATTAAGCGAGTTCCACTTTCTAAAATCCATCTTATCAGTTTGTTGCTGCACAAAGCCTCAGAGGGGTTCATTAGTTGTCAACTGCTACTGACCCCCAAAGTTCATCTGTGTTTGTGCAACTGGTGAATGGTTACCTTTGGGTGACCATGTAGCTTTTGCAGGATAATTGGTACACTGGCTGTCATCACCACAAGCTTCTCCTGAGTGCTCCAGGGCAGAATAAAACTACTATGGAATTTAATTAAAAAAAAAAAAAAAAAAAAAAAAAAAAAAAAAAAAAAAAAAAAAAAAGACAGGTGCATATAAAAACTGTAAAAAACCAGCAGTAGTTACCAGAAGGTGTAAATGTGAATACCTTTCATGTTTCTCAAACATCCTAGAGGAACACAGGGTTTCACCAGTCCCTTATGTGACCTGCCAGTTTTCCTGGTAGAGCTCAGCTGTCTAAATACTCCTCCGCAGTTATCAGGTTTGTTATTTCAATGTACATGCACTCCTATCAAACTGTTCCCAGCCCCAGGAGCAAGAGTGGGTGAGCAGCTAGTTAAATGAATGGTTATTTATTCCTCAAGTGTTGTTGAAAGGGTAAGTAAACATGCCTTGTTCTGGAGAAGACTGCAAGCATTCAAGCTGAATAGCAGCAGCTCTCTCTTTCATATCCTGCTCACTATGGAGTATTTTCCCAGTGGGTAAAAGGCTGAAAGCTGAATGGAGAATGGAGATGTAGAAGAGGAATTGAACAGCACAGAGGACTAAAAAAGCAATGCAGTGAGGGAAACCAGACCCATTTCCCCAACTTTGGCAGAGCCAGGATTTCAGCCCCAGAGACTTTTCTGCAAATGAATAAAATCAGCAGCCCTATCTCAGTCCTATTCTGTGAGCTGAGAGTATCAGCTTTACCAGTGGCTTCATTATCAGCTTTATCCCCCTCATTCACCATGAGGAGAGGGCCTTGCTTTTAGAGATACAGTGATTATTTTGTAACCATAATAATAGGCTTAAAGAAATTACACTCTAAAAACACAGGGCTTTTTGGAGGAGAGGGTGGTATAAAGAATAAGGAATAGACGTGGGGTTAAGGAAAACTTAGCACTTCATCAAAACCAAAAATCTGAAATAGACAGAGAGGTAACTTCTACAACATTTAGTCATCCCTAACAATAATTATTTATCTGTTAGAAACTCAAGTTTGGTGTGGAAATGGCATTGATAATATTCATTAAAAAAAATAAAAATTTCATCACTGCCTTAAAGTCAGGCATCCATAACTATACTATTAGATTTGTTCAGTGCTTTCAGTGCCATGACTCACAGGATGCGGCTGACTTGTATGCAAACCCTTACAGTACCAGATGAACTGATTTTGTGTAGCTTTGAGATTTTCCTTTTAGCTAAGAAACCTACTGTGGCTGTGGGCACCTGCAGTTGTCCTGCTGTCTTAGCACAGAGCGTGGGTATGTGATTGGAGGTTGCCAGAATGGTTGTTGAGGTGAAACTGATATTTTCCACATTGAGTTGATACTCCTCTTTCATTGAGCTAATGCAAATAATGCTACAGACAAATTCTGGCAGAATGGTACAGGTGAAGGGAGAAAGAGAACATTTGAACCAGTGTGGAACTAAAGATGATATTTTGGGAAAGTTATGAGAGAAAATCGAAGAACAGTGTCAGTTCCACTACAGTTTTGCTCCATTTGGCTATCCAGCTTAGATTAGTAAAATCCAGGTTAGAATAGACTGTATTTTGGCTGTTTACAAACTGTTTGTGCATGTAGATTCATTGTTATGTTAAAAAGTGTCTGTCCTTTCTCTGCATTACTGTTGCAAGTCACTATTAATCAGTCATGGCAGTAGATAATTTTTTGTGTGTGTGCATCAGTTAGAATTTTTAAAATACAATTCCTTTCAAGTACTTTTTTTTTTTTTTTGTTAGGATCACTAACTTTATCTGTCACACAGATAAATCTAATCATACACATTTTTCTTTTATCTAAATACTAATACATGATGATTGTATCCTGGAAGTCAAATTAAAACGAATCAAACCAATGCTGAGGGGCCTTTGACAATCAGAATTAAATTTCAAATATAGGAATTGGGAAATACAGACCAGAAGGATATACAAGCTTTAATGCCCAGATTCAACATTTTTATGATGCATCAGCATATATATATTGAAATCAGTATTCATAAAATGCCGTAGCAATGCTAGCATTAAAGTGCGCTTGCCAAAATCTTGACTCAGTTGTCTATAGAAGCACCTTTACTTTAAAATATCATGTGCTGTAAACAGAAGCAACTGGTAGCATACCTACATGAGTCACATTTTAAAATGCTAGTAGCAGCCCCATACATAATGATCCCCAAAGGCAGCATGCCAGGAGAGTGTTACATTCAAGAGTAATGACATTGCTTTGCAAAGTGACTATGTTCCTCTGCAAGATCTCCCCTGGAAGACAGCATCGTTGTCATTAAACAGTAAAAGCTGCCAGGCAACTTCTGTGAGTTCTCAACAGGGTGCTACTGAAATTCTGTCTTGCTTGAATAACATTTTGCACTTCACCTTTTTAAAGAGCCTTCTCGCCTGTGTATCGAAAACCAGCAGATTGACAGATTGGAATCTAGGCTCTCTCACTGTATTAGAAACATCAAAGTGGAAAGTAGTTAAATTGCATCTAAGTGACAATTTAACATGGCTTATGCTGACTATATATTGTAGAAACTGTAACTCCATGAAAACTGGAACCCACAAACAGGTTTTTGTTGAGCAACGTGTAAGAGTGATTCTACTTCTTACCACAGAAGACTTGAAGTTGTTTCTTTGGTTTTGTTTGGTTTGTGTTTAGGAAAAGTATTTCGTTTTAAGAAGAGTGAGAAAAAATTCAACTATAGCTATAACTTTGAGTATTGTGTGAAGTAATCTATTTACTACATGCCCTATAAAAAAGGATTTAAGGGCTTGCCTGCAAGCATTTGTAAAGGAGCTTTTTAGCTCTCAGAGGACAAATCCTGTGAACTGAGGCAATTGGAATTTAAATTACTTTTTAAAAATCCTCTTCTTGGTTCTTGAATGCAAGCACTATATCTTGTCAGCTTAGAGTGTGTGGCCAAAGAAAAAGAACAGCTGCCGAAAATGCAATTCTGCAATCGTTGGCTCTGGGATTGTAGTTATTTGGTGCTTGTGTGCAGATCTTTTTTTTTTTTTTTTATTCACTGAGTAATTATTCAGCAAGGTGGTCACCTCTGGGAGAAAACCCCTGGAGCTGCGAGAAGCTGAGCAATGGAACTAAACGCACTCGAGACTTCTCTTTCTTACAGCCTCGAGCAGGCTGGAACTGAACAAGTTTCCCCTGGGACGGTCCCCATCGAGCCTACTGGGATGATGTACCGAGTATAAAGGCGCTGAGATTCGGTGACAGAGATCCTCAGGGCTCAGTGATTTCCCAGTGATGTTTTTGCTTTCACTGTAGAAGGGGACCAAAGTGCGCGGGAGCTCGGCTTGATCCGGGAGAGTGCGAGGAGTTAGGGCGGCGTCGGAAGTCCTGCCCAAGCCTCCCTGCCCCCCGGCTCGCCCCCTCCTCCTCGGGGCCGGGACAGGCCGCTGGGGGCCCCCGCCCCGCCCGGGAGCCCTCGCCGCCCCCCTCCCGCGGGCCGCCCCAAGGCAGACTTTATGATTACAGGTGAAAGATGCAAATGTGAGATTATTTTAAGCTTAAAAGAGATTGATTTCAGCTGCAAGCCACAGTAATTCTTAACTGCCTACAGTTTTACACTATTTTCTTCCCACTAGGAAAGATAATTTTTTTCACTTTGAAAATCCTTTGCCAATTTGTAGTTGAATTCTACACCCACTCTGTTCCACTGTCTGTGGCTTTGCTGTAGTTTTGGGTGAAAACCAACTAGAATAATACATAATGCTCATGGCTTTCATTTGCTCGATGAAATTTTGAGAAGTATCCTAGAACTGCGATAGAAAAATATTTTATTTTGTACCTCAAGGTAGCAACATTATTAGTGCCATCCATCCAGTATTTTGCCATCTACCAGAGTAACAATCCACAAGTTTCTCCCTTGGATTCCTAAAACTACAAATGCACAGCTAATTTACAGAGCTGTACATGCATAAGTAGTCTCAGTTCTAGGAAAATATTAATAAATTAAGAGTGCTTCTACGATTAGTATCTTCAATTTTATGCTCTTAAAGTCTTACTGAATCACCAAGACTTTGTCTTAATTATAAATTTCAACATACGAGATAAATAAAACAGGGATTACATAATGGAGTCATGTGGAGGTTTTTAGCTGTGAGTGTGAGATGATCTTTTTAACTACCTCTTTCCCAGAAGCTCTTTGATTCACCAGCAAATTGATCTACATTCTGCTGTCAGATGCATGATTTCCAAGTCGCTTCTCTGGAAACTGTTCAGGAGCTTCAGGTAATGTGGGAAATTGAAACATAAAGTATTTGTTTATTTGTGAATGCACTGCACATTCAGTGTCGTGTCCCTGGAATTCTTTCTGCTAACGTGGTAATAAAATATTGAAAGCAACGCATCTACCTTAGGCTTGCACTTAAATATTTTATGCTGCTGTATTTTCAAAACTTCCAAAATTCCACTAAACCACAACCTTTAGCAAAGCGTAATTTCTATGAGTTTTAAGAGTGGCTGGTTGCAGTACCCAGAATCTTACACAGTTTTAATTGATAGCACAGTTGGGTGATATCACCATTACCAATATAGCTTGGTTATTGTTTATGATGTGATCCCCCATAGCATGATTCTGCTTGGAGGCTGTATTTATCCACACTGCAATTAAAGATTTTCAACTGTAACCAACAGTGCAGTCATCCTCTGCATAGGCATCTTACAGACTTCATTATTTCTGCAAATTTGAATCTACACAATGAACTTCCCTTCTGGCACAGGGAACTGGTTGAGGAAACCTATCCAGTCAAGAAATTTCTGAGGTGCTGAGATGTACTTGAAATATCTCCTTCCCTCCCATGTATATCATTGAAATAAGACACGTGAAAAAAAAGTCAGCAAGAATTATTGTAGCCCATTTCCCTCACCTTTTAAAGAACAATGCCAGATCTTTCTTCTGACTTCATATGGATTTTACTCAGAGCAGATATCAAATTGTTGCAATGTCATAGGTCAGGTGGTTGTAAAGATGTTCATATGTTGAAATGTTGACTGGAAAATGTTACATCTCAAGCTAACA